GCAGTAGGTATTAGTCATGGCTTCCTTTAACATTCACATCCTTAAGATCAAGACTTCAAATTCATAGAAAAGAGTCTTATGAAGTGTTTCTCATTGATATATTTTAAAAAATGCTAAAGATAGTAGCAACGGAGTAGATTTTTTGGTCTTTGTTTTAGTTCAAGTAGTAGTAGTAGTATGAATAAATAAATATATATCATGTAATGTTTTTTTAATTGTTCATCAACTGAAATAAATGATCCCATTTTCAAAACGTAATACAAATGAGACAATACAATTGTAATTATTCCAAAAACAATTGGTCACTTTTTACTCATCGACTTAGTTTTCAGTTGCAATTAATATGTAGCCGAAATTATTTACAGCAACTTTACTACTTTATTGTTTATGTTAGCTTTCAAGTCATATCCAATTTGGCTTATAATAATGTATATTGTAAATAAAATCATGATTGTAACACAAATGTAGTAATGAATTTTGCCTTTGATGGCATCTTTATTAGATCTTTGCTCATATTTTTTGTCAACGAAAATAATGTACTTGCAATTGAAAGAATGAAAAAAGCTTTTTATGTCAGTCTTCTGTCTGTATAATAAGTATCTCACAAATATTGTCCTGCACTGGTACGAATTTTTGCACCAGAATCGAAACTAACACTTTTTGAATATCTGGACTCGATATCTGACCGAACTCGAACCGTAGCTAATTGACGTCCTGCAGATAATTCTACAGATACTATAGAATTTCCAAACTTTTATTTTATATGAAAAAGTATATTGTTAAGTTTCTTCAATAAACAGCAACAAAAAAGAAAATGAATTGAGTGCCGTAAGATTCACTTGATGTCTTTCTGCTTCTAAAATTTGATCAATGTCACTAGTTATATGTTTGTTTGTTGCTGATGATGCTGAAATAGAACTTAGTGTTCGTGTTAAACGTTATAATTATGAATACATATATGAATGCTTTGTCCATCACGATAATACATATTCATCTTTCTGATAGATCATTTTCCTCTCTATGTATTCAATTATTTTCTCAATTGATTTCTTATCATTTATAAACGAATTTTGTTAGTAAGATAATATTGCTTTTCACTTCTGTGACTTCTTGTAAAGTTACATGAATTACTTTATCATGATCGAAACAGTTTTCATTCCTATGCTTTTAGAAATAATATATAGCAACTTGAAAAAGTAATAATACTTTGAAACGTCAAGATCTCATATATTGCTCAGTTAGGTGTCGAATACCCGATCCAGTTGCAGAATACTACTTCGAAACAAAATGTGAATAGTATCTTAAAGTGTACCATTTATTTTTAATATAGAATTACATGACACGGCGTACATCAATGTGTACATAAACTAATTTTTGACAAATGTCAGCATCATATATATATTGTTTCTGAGATATGTAACAAAGAGTATTACTTATAATTCATTAATTTTGAAACAAATATTAAGACAACTGTATAACCAATTTACATTATTAGAGACTGATAGAAGTTATTGTGATAATTCAATTTATTGATTAATTTGTTCTTCAACATTCAGCGAAAGACTTCAAAAGAATTGCAAAAAAATATGATGATCTTTTGTTTTAGTCCGAGTTCTGACTAAGGAGTTGATCATCTTAATCATAAATAGCTATTTTGAAATCACTTTCATAAATAACTGATTTATATTTATTTAATAAGACTTCATATCAGTTTCTACTTTTCGTTTCTCTATTGAAACTCATATTTAGAAAACAATTTATAGATCAAGAACGAATACCATTATTTTATAATTGGAAAACGTCTACTTTTTCTCAAGAAACAAGAATGTGTTATGACAAGCACTAACTTTTGATCTATTATTAAATATATTTATTTAATTATTCTTGACTGCCTCTATTTATACTGAAATGAATGTCGAATGATCTTCAAATATACAGAGTGTCTCGCAAGTAATTTTATAATAAAAATATTCAATATTCTCACTAGACTGTAACCAATTCGACTGATTTTTTCCTAGTTATAAAGAAGGCTTTTGATTTTTTTCGTAGGAAAACTGCTCGCAGATGGTTCTTTGAATTATCCCTTTTTTTTGAGTAAAACACAGAAATGTGAGCCTGCTGTTTTGGATGAAAGGTATGGACGATACACATCAGCAGAAAAATTTTTTTTTTCTTCACGAAAAGTTTTTTGGTCACGGAGGGTGCACAGACACTGTGTATACCCCTTCGAGTACGCTGCTGGTCTCTGATCTCATATGAAAACCAACAAAAGATCTTCAAAAATGATGTACACAATGGATCATCATCGAGAAACGAAATTAGAATCGATAGCCATCCATTGGCAATCCTAGCCACTAATAAAATGTCATCTTAGTCATTATATTCTACGTAACATTGACTACTTTGAATCTGCTTGACATTATTCTCAGTTTGGCTCAAAATATACAGATTTTTCTGTTTTATCATTCGCTAATTAACAACGATATCACATACTTTCGAACACTCGCAAGACGATGATTCCGACACCTAATTCCAGTGATTTTCCGCTTGTTCTCAACTGGCGTCGATTATACGCCATTCATCTGAGCTTTGAACATTCTCTGATAGGCTTTGATGATATCAGAAAATAATGCTGAAGAGTGTATAAAATCGAGTCCTACGAATTTTTGAACTCCTATCCTCAAATTTGATGCTTTTCAAAGTGAAATCCGACCTTCAACTGACCCCATTGAACAAAAGTTGAATTAAAACTTAAACCGATTCTAACGGGTAAAGTTGAACATGAACCCACTCACAGGTCAGATCAATTCAGTTCCTAGAATTCAACTGCATACCACAATTCACACTCACAGCATCGCCAGTGTATCGTTTACTCAAGCAAAAACAAGGAAAAAAACTAAATGTCTTTTACTTTTGGTAAGCTTCCTATCTATGATGTTAGATAGCATTTTGATACTTCTTAAATTTTCTAAAATCATTTTAACATAAAAACAAAGACCTCTATCAGAGTCAACAAAAGGATGCGTACTGTTTTTTTGAATAGGAGCGAAGTACTACAGGGCTGAAGTTAAGTCCTTAAATGTTCCTGTGCGAAAATGTTAAGATAAAATTCTCCATACAAAGCACATCTATATAAGATAGTCAGCATAAACTTCTTCTGACAGATGTGTTAAGTAGCATCATACTTACTCCTTTTTTTCATTCTCCTTCTTCACATGTACCGATTAATACCAATAAGTGAAGCAGAGTGGGCAATAGGAAAGTACTTTTTCTCGAAGTGAGATGGAGACCGAGAAATTCTTCCCGTTTCAGTCATTGTCCTATATTCTTTTTATATTTAAAATAAATCTTATAAATTGAACAAAATTCATTACAGAGCTCATACATAAATAGATAATAGTATATATTAATTATTTGTCGTCAATATTAGAAGAGTACTCTTCTGTACAAATAATCTTTCTTCATACCAATTCTTATTAGAAAACCCGTGCAGTTTCAATGTAGACTTCAATTATACTAACGAGATTAAAAGATCTAACGACAGTCTTTTCTCAAAGACTAACAGATGTTGTATATATGTTTAGTAGATAGAGAAAATAAATCGTTCTTTTATAGTTCTGAATCTCTTTCCAAATGATTGTTGATGATTTCCAAATTTCATTCATCATCAAAAGAGTATTTATTTTAAATAAACAAAAGAAAATTGTCCTGATTTTTGTGTTAACTATCCCTTTTTAACAGAATACAAATTAACCAAGTCGTTCATCGATAATTTTTCAAACTAACTTGCGTATTCTAAGCTAGAATTATTGTAGTTGAAACGTGTTGTCGTTTGTTTATCGTAGAACATTAATATTCTACTGTTTCTTACGACGGATTTTTTTGCATTAAAAATATAACAATGATTCAAGACATTTAACGATAAAAATTTCATTTCCATTTAAAATTAATAGATTATGTCATTTTTCATATTATAATTATAATAACTGTTTCGAGTTCAAGAAAAAAGTAAAATTAAACAGAAAAATCCAACTGTCATCTATCTAATATGAGAATGATCATCAGTTTCCTATGAATAGAACTTTGTGATACACGACTATTTCGTTCAAATATATATATCTCTATCGTTATATGTCGAAATCGTATTCTCACTCAATGTGAACAGAACAACTATTGGAAAATCTAATTTTTCTTTTTTAGCATAATTCATCATTCTAAAATTCAGTATTCTAGCCATTTCACTAAAGAAAAACTATGATCAATCTGTAGAAAAAATCTTTGAAGAAAAAAAAAAATCCTAAATATTTGTTGTAATTATTATAAATAAATATAGTACCGGATCGTTAAGACTCTTTGTAAATTGTGTGTTACCAGAACAACGTCTCATTGTTTATCAGCACTTCGTTTGCTTATATTCCATTCAGATTAAGTTATAATTCAACTAAGCATATAATCAACCAACAATACAAGGAATCATACTGCAAATCAGTTCAATGAAATAAAAATTTTGAATAGAACAAAAAATATGACAAATACGATTAAACAACTCGTGTAACGAACAAATTATTGCTTTTCACTTCATGGAACATGACTTCCCTTCACTTGTCTTTAGTTCTTTTCTTTGTCTATTTTGTCATTTTTTTTCTGTGTTGTTGATTTTTTTCTATTCTTTTCTTCAATCTCACCTTTCTAAAAATGGAAGGCACTATCTACATACATCACTATGATTAATATTACGTCTTTATATTGGTTTCCATTTTTTTAGTTTTGAATTTCATACAAGAATGTTTGTTACTTTTGAATTTCTTCATTTTGGTTCAGTACATATCAGTCAACTGCATATCCGAGCTGCATATATAGCTAAACGAATCGCATAATTAAATAAAAATCATCAGATTACGAAACAAGAATATCAATTAATTCAAACTGAAGATATTTTGAACAAACGGTTTTCATTTCTGTATTATATTTCAATACAACAAAAAACAGTACAATATAATTTACATATCTTCAACACTCCATAGATAGGCTTCTTGTGACTTGGCATGTCGATGAGCAATCGATTCAAATAATTTCTTTTCATAACCATTTGATCGATCGACACCATCCCATCGATAACCAGGCCAGATGTCGAATCTAAATATATATTATAACTTGAGTAAAACTAAATATTAGAGAAGTCATATTTATACCTATTCTTTTGAGGATCAGGACCTCTGTAACGAGGTTTAGCTGGAGTACTATTACTATTATTCGTTCGATCACCTACATCAGATGTTTTTTTGGAAAGATATTTGAGCATTGGATCATCTAATTTAAAAACAAGAGAAAAAAGAAAAGATTTTATAATCATTCAATATTACTTAATAAGAAATAGGAAGATATCATATAAATATACTTGTATTTCGAAAATAAAATTTCAGAACTTGAACTATTTCATTTACCTTCACGTTCTTTTTCTTTAAGCATAGTATCAAGATCTGCATCATCTCGATAACGTGCTAATGGTTTTGCTGCTTGTTCTATATAATCTTTCACAGCATGTTCTACTTGTCGAACTTGAGCTAAACCACGACCCCATTGTGCATATCGTTCAGCTACTTGTTCTTTGTGTTCGGCTAAACGTCGTCGTTCTGATTTAGCTGGTTGAGAAGGTGGCGGAGGTGATTCTTGTTTTGATCGACGATGTGTTGATGATGATGATTCTTCTTTTATTTGACGACGATATGTAGATGATGGTGGTGATTCTTGTCGAGAATGTCGACTTTTTTTTTGATGAGAAGGTGAAGATTTATCTCGACGTCTTGGAGGACTTGCATCTTCATCGTCATCCCGTGGTTGTTGTTTGCGAGGGGAAGAAGTATCACGTCGTGTTGATGGATTTGAATCATCATTATATTTATGTTTTCGTCGAGGAGGTGATGAATCATGTCGTCTTGATGGACTAAAATCATCATTTGTTCGATGTTTTCTTCTTGAAGAAGAAGAATCATCATGTTTTCGTCGTGGTGGAGATGGATCACGTCGTCGTGGTGGACTAGGGTCATCATCTGATTGTCGTTTTCTTCTTGGAGGAGAAGGATCATCATTTTTTCTTCGTGGTGGAGATAAATCAGGATCGTCGTTTCTTCTTGGTTGACGTCGATCGATATCAGGATCACTATCATCAGATGAGTTTCGTTTTGGATGAGATTTTGATGATGAAAGAGATTTTGTTGGTTTTGGTTGAGGTCCTATACTGCTAGGTTCAGGAACTTCTTCAAAAGCTGCTGTACGCCAACGTTTAACATCATTAAATCGTTCTTTTTCACGAATTTCTGATGGACGTTCATCAATAACACCTAATATATATTGATAAGAATGAGTAAAAATTTTATTGTTAACTTAAAAACGAACAACAAATAAGACATACCAACAACAACTGGAGCATCGTCAAACGAAACGATTTCATCATCAGCTATAGTATTAGATTCTGTTGTAGTACCCCATAATATTGGTGCATCATCATCAATAATACGTACATGACCAAGATCTGTTGATTTTGATTTTTTCTTTTTTGTTTTCTTTTTTGATGTTGTAGTTGCTTCAATTTTAAAACCTTTACGTTCAACTAAGTCAGTCATATCTTAAAATTCGAAAGGAGAAAACAAAAGTTTAGTCTTTTTTGTTGTCTTAATGTCAAACGCAAAAAATAAAAGAAATGACTAATTTTTTTTCTAAAATAATTAACATAAAGAAAGAATAAAGGTTTTAGTTGCATGAGTATACGATAGAGACAAAAAACAAAATGTTATTGCACTTAATTACGACATACAATAAATCGCATGGAAAATAAATAAGACATACATCGATCACAAATTGGTTTTGTTCTTATTTTAGTAGACAAAAAAAGAAGAACTAAATAATGATAAAGATAAACGAACAAACATTGGAATAATACTAAATCAAAAAGAGAGAAAAAAAATAGAATCGAGTTTATAAGATAATAATTATGATTAAATGGAAGGATAAACAGAATATAACAACACAGAATGCAAATAAATATCATGAAAAAAAGAGAAAAAAATTAACTTTCTTCCATATCGCGAAATGCAGCTTGCATACGTTCATTAAGCTCTTCAAGATCACGTTTAATTTTTTCTTCACTATCTTTGGTTGGGTCCTAAATTAATTAAAACATCTTATAATAATCAATCAAAATATTTAATAAAATGAGAATTTACCTTAAATTTCATACTGCTTAATTGATGAATAATATCTCCTAGATTTGTTCGAATATCATTCCATGTTATTTTCTTTTCTGATTGAGCTGTTGTTTCAACAGCATGTCGTGCTAAATCATAAAATGCAATCATATTACGAAGCATTGCAACACATTTATAAAATGGACAATATCTTTAATAAAAAAAAAAAAAAGAAAATAAATAATTTAAAAAAAGAAAAAGAAAATATTTTTTTCTTACTTATCATATGATGAATAACCATTTTGTTGAAGAAAATCATCTTTTATCATACGTGCTACTTCAAGTGTTATTTTATCTGTTTCAGCTAATGATGCTTTACCAACAAGTTGTACTATATCAGAAAGATCTTCTTCTTCTTGTAAAATTTCTTTACACTAAATTAAAAATAAAACAAAATTTTATTTTTCATATTCAATATAAGAATAATATTCATACTTTAGCACGTAATGGTACAAACTCTGGATAATTTTTATCATAATAATCATCAAGAGCACGTGTGTATTTACTATATGAAATAAGCCAGTTAACTGATGGAAAATGTTTTCGTTGTGCTAATTTTTTATCTAAACCCCAAAATACTTGTACAATACTTAATGTTGCTGCTGTAACTGGATCAGCAAAATCACCACCAGGTGGAGAAACACTAAAAATAAAATGAAAATCATACATTTTATATTATTTATTTATAGTCCTGCACAAAAGTAACTGACTCCCATAACGTGCTGCTATCCTTTATAATATCGAGTTGATATTTTAGGTACATGCATGTATGCAACAATAAATCTTGACATTAACAATCATCTTGTCTTTCACCGATTTACGTGTACTAGAATGATGATACATACATATTCTTTTCCTTGTTAAAAATTCATATTCAGCGAAACTATGTACTCAAAAGATTTTTTTTTTGTCATTTTGCTATTCTACAAGCTACTACTATTTTTTGTCTAGCGCTAAAGACAATTCTATATGTCTATTTTGCTATCATCAAAGTCCATGACATATAGTTAAGATCTCAGTAATCAGTATGCTCCTAGCTACTGAACTCATTTTGTAACGCTAGCTTAAATTTCATTCAGTTCTGTAGTTCTACAACTTTAAGAATGGACTATTCGTCTTACACGGTATGTTCAGATGTTCGAAAAACAAAATTTCTGAAGTTTCTAGAAGTTCGATAATCACATAGCAGTGCAAATTAAACATTTTTAGAAAATATTGACAATTTCAGAAATTGTAGAAATTCTGGTGATTACAAAATTACGGTAATTACGAAAATTCTGAAGAGCACATCAGTGTGAAAGACATCGAACAATATGCAACATAAATGCTTGAAATTTCCAAAAGGCAACTATTAGCCTTTGACCTCAGAACTGAATATGCGTATATAGGTTAGCAGAGTCAGGCTTCTTCTATCTAAGGATCTATGTACTATCAAGTTCTATTACATATCATTGAAATACAAATAAAGAATGCCACCTTCATTACGACCATAGTAGAAAGCATCAACGATGACGTTTTTTTATGAATCTCAACGATATACAATGAACTTGATAGTATTTACAAAATTGTATAGAGAAAGTCTTCCTCTAAAAAACTACGTATATCCTATTCAGTGATAACAAATGCTGCGTCTCATGGGATCTTTCTACTACAGTTTTCAATGAACCGGTGAAAGTCATGGTGAAAAAAGTTCATCTTACTAAAAACTAGCATTTGTTCATCAACAAACATTTTTCATGAAAAGACAATATCTCAGTGATTTTAAAATAATTTTTAAGAAAATTCAGATTGAAAATGGCTACGATATTGATCTTTCGAATGAAGAATTAGACAAAAATATTTGAATCAACATGGTTCAGATAATAAGGTGATGACAAAAGGAAAATGATGTCTGAATCATAATTCCAATGTATATGAATTGATGAAGAACGAGTTGTTGCTTGCAATCAGAGTATTTTTCTCGTATACATGTCCCCAAAATATCAATCCAATATCATAAAGAATAGTAACACTTCACGAGAGATGACATCTTTATCCAGGACTGTATTTTTTTCGTTTGTATGTTTATACTTACGCTCCGACAATGCTTACAGAACCTTCACGTTCTGGATTACCCAAACATCGAACACGACCAGCACGTTCATAAAATGAAGCTAAACGAGTACCTAAATAAGCTGGATAACCCGAATCTAAAACAAGAACATACAATAATGACTTAAGATTTTCAAAAAAAAGAAAACAAAAAAGCTCAAACTGACCAGCAGGCATTTCAGCTAAACGACCAGAAATTTCACGTAGAGCTTCAGCCCAACGTGATGTTGAATCAGCCATCATAGCAACATTATAACCCATATCACGAAAATATTCTGATAATGTAATACCTTTAAATAAAAACACAAATAAACTTTCAATAAATATTCATTAATCATATTCACCTGTATAAATCGAAGCTTCACGAGCAGCGACAGGCATATTCGATGTATTTGCGACTAAAGTTGTTCGTTCCATAATTGATACTTCTTTACCTTCTACTTCCATTTTTAACTATAAAATGTGGTTTTTTACGATAAGTCATATTTAAAAAAGAGAAATTATCAATTGAATTTTTTTACTTGAGGAAAATCACGTAATACTTCAGCCATCTCATTTCCACGTTCACCACAACCAACATAAACAATAGCATCACTATTAGAAAATTTCGAGAGTGATTGAGAAATAACAGTTTTTCCACAGCCAAAGGCACCTGGAATAGCTGTTGTACCACCTTGTACACATCTAAACATGCAAACAATTTTGTTTCTTTTCTTTTTAATAAGAAATTCAAATACATACGGAAATAATGAATCTAATACACGTTGACCAGTTAATAATGGATGATTAGCTGCAAGTTTTTCAACTACTGGTCGCATCTGTCGAACAGGCCAAACTTGAAGCATTGTATGTTTAGTTTTTTCTCCATCAAATTCTGTTTCGAGAACAACATCCTATTATTTTTTTTTTGCAAAACAATTAAAATTAAATCAAATAAAAAGTGTACTTTATTCAACATACTTCAAGTGTATAATTGCCGTCCGGTGCAATATATGTTATTGTACCTTTGGATTTTGGATGAAGCATTATACGATGCTTAATCATTTGATTTTCTGGTACTACACCAAATATATCACCACCAGTTATATGACTACCAACCTAACAAAACAAAGACATATATGAAACTTCAATTTAAAAAATAAAATATTCATACTCGAAGACGATTATCTGGTGCAAAATGCCATGATGTGGAACGACTTAATGCAGGCACATTGATACCACGTGGAATATAAATACTCTTCGTATGATCGTAAATAACTTCAAGAGGTCGTTGAATACCTATACGAAAAAATATCATCTGTATAGAAGACTATTTTTGTTTTGAAATAAATCATTCTTACCATCGAAAATACTTGTCATAATACCAGGACCAAGTTCAACGGATAATGGTTTGCCTGTTCTTAAAACTGGATCACCAACGGTAACACCAGCTAAAAAAAGAATATTCAACATAAAAATTATAATATTAAATAAAACAGTCTTTTAAAAATACATGTTTCTTCATAAACTTGAATCGTTGCCAAATCATTTTCTAAACGAATAATTTCGCCGACTAATTCTTCATGACCAACTCGAACCTATACAAAAAAAGCAGAAATAATTTTTTTTCTGTTGAGATGAAATTTCGCATAGACACAATAAAAGATTCCGGTTCTTCTACTATGTTTTAGCGTACAGACTTCTTAAACATGTGTTCTAATATGAATTTCTATGCATGAAAAATTAAATATCATGATTACATTTTAGTTAGTTCAGTATGAAGATGTTTCAAATGGAAAGTAGAAATATACAAAAAAAAGAACTACAGTTGAATTCCCTTTTTTTTTAATAAATTAATAAGAAAAGTATTGTGACTGATTAATTGCATTTCACTTGAGACTATGTGCTTCACGCAGATCCAAGTTAGTTATAAATACTTTGAAAAGAGTCTGGATCCATAGCTTATTACTGCCGATACATTAGATTGTCAAGGTGTTTTTCATTAAAATAACGCGATGATCCTCAGGGACGCAAGCAAAACTGATTTTTGCATTTCGACTTGAAACTTTCCATAGAGACTAGAGTTATCGAGAATAGTTTATTGTGAAATTATCAGGTATTTTCGCTGTTCCAATCCTGAGATACCACTATTATAAAAGCTTATTTTTTTTTCAATTGTTCATATACACTAGCAGATTTCATGGTCTTATTTCAGAAATCGAGCAAATTAAAAAATTGAAAACTTGCGCGAAAAATTATTCTGGTTAAGATTTGTCTCTACAAAAAAAATTCAAGTCAAAATTTGAGAA